GGAATACGAATATATTTATTACACTCTAGCAGTAGCCGCGGTGATCGGGTTAAAGAATTTGACCTCTGACCTCAATCACTCCAACTTTCATGGTCTACGATTGATTAGAACCGACCAAACCGGCTGTCCAGGCACCTGAATGCCATACACTAGTTAAACCATTCAAATGACCAAAGCAAATAGATCGTGATAAACTGATATCTATGATGGTGCTAACTGCGTCTAGCTGTGTGATATGTTTTCTTGTGCTACTTATGTGATTTGTACACAGATTAAGAATGGATTACCGAAAATCTATTGTTTCGCCAAACCGTTATACCGAATGCTTTGATGGTCAGCTTTCCGACACAGATGAAACGACTAACTCACAAACAAAGCCCTGAGATCCGTGGATATCAAGTTGAGCATGTCCCTAACTTGTTAGTGTGAAATCACACACACACACACACACACACACACANNNNTGTGTGTTTGCGTCAAAATGTTAAGTGATCATTTTTGCTGCACTTAAAATTACACCAATGCACACTGTCCGAATATATTTAGGCAAACGGTTCGTCCCGATTGAGTCCATTTATTTGGTTGAGTGCGGTTGAGGTTTAACTTCGGTGCTTGCTCTTTTTAGGTTGTTTTGATCACGGTTCGTGTGATACCTGTCTCCACAGAAAACTTCTCGTCTTTTCTGTGGCAGGTTGCACTTTGGACGAATGTCATGTTTAATCTGAATTATGTGGCGTGCAGGTATGTGCATTCTGGTCTGTGAACTGATTCAAATGCGAAATATCGGATAGGTCTCTTGATCACATTCTTCGTGATTATCTGAGTCAATGGTCCGAGAAACTAAAAGATTTGGTCTGAAGTCGTAGGCAGCGACATTCATATATCTGCTCACTTTGTTTCCCGCGTGTATTTATTCTGCTTTTTTGACTCATTTGTATGATCATTCGAGACAGTTAATAATTTGACATCCTCGATCTCCAAAAGTCAGCAATCCAACCAGAGCGCTTCAGATTCTATAAACTTATTCTATGTGGTCGATGAATTTTTTCCTCAAAGTTTATAACGTTTAATTTTCAGTCTGAAAGCCTTACATGTGTAGTACCCCTTTTCCGACTGCTCTTCTTTCTCTAATTCCCGCTGAAAGACGAGCAACATATACGGCTTTGATTATCAAGCAGCTCCCACAGTGGACTTTTTCTTTCTGTTCGTCCTCACCATGCCCTTTGTTTGATCATTTGGAGTATTCATTTTTTTGTCTTTGGTGCTGTAGAATATCTATGAATGATTTCCGTTGCTCTTAAAGAAATATGAAACATATCGATCTTTGAGGTCAGTCGTACTCATTTATTCTGTCATCTTTTGCCGGTTTCATTTGCTTGTTCACACCCAGTTCTATTCTATATGGCATATACACCTGTTCCGTTTATTTTGGTGCCATTTCATCTCGCCTTATTCTGTAACATGACAACTCGTCGCCCGACACAAATAAAACTCAATGTTGTGCATCACTGATCGCCGTTCACTAAGGTTAAACACACGATCGGTTAACACGTCCATCTAACAGTTTGTACACGACGAAATTCACCGCAGTGTTTTCAGAACGATTACCTATCACACAAAACCTCATTGCATTCTGAAGAGCTGCGACTGGTCGAATGTGCGCTTATTTGGTTAATCGCATCGTATCTGTTTTCATGCGTTAGCCACTAACCTCATGAAAGACCACCTAATGCTTGTTCTTTGATCCCCTGAGGTAATTCAAATACTTCAAAACGCTCATGACGGTCCATGGTCTTTTCTAAAGCTGCAGGTTCTCGTCTACTGGTGATGCATAGCTTCCATCCTTTTTTGAAGATACCCTTACGGTTCTGTGCACGGTTTATTGTACAGTTCATAAACTTCCTCATATTTCAACTTCAGACTTAGAAAATAACTACAACTCAGTGAACATGAAGTAAATGGCAAATCTCTTAAAATATGGTTCATGCTGCATTGCTAATGAACAACAATTTTGTTTGTTCTACAAACCCTACTTACCCTGAGTCCAGTACGTGATTTATTTCCCCCTATATTTGCATCATAAAAGTGTCATCCATTTCGATTCTCTTTACTTTCATTCCGAATGCTGTCATCAGTTGTCTGTTAGTCATTGTTCACTCTTGATCTCCCGTTTAGGTTGATCAAGAAGGAAACTGGGAGTGCGGTCCAGACAGTCCACCGCCGCCTGACTGGCCAGCTCCTTGCTGCGAGGTACGATTCAATCGCGCATCCATGCTATACACCCTGCCAGGACCAGAGAAAGATAACACCAGTGTCGAGACCCCTAGTCCTTTCCTTGGCTCCGATGAACCGGCTCTTCGGTCTGTGGATTTGGTTTTAAGTGGGAACCGAGAAACTCGTCGAATAGGCGTTGTTGGTCGGACCGGAGCTGGGAAGTCGTCTTTGGCTTCATCCATTTTTCGTCTAAACGAGGCAGTTATTTTGGAAGAAGATCGAGCTACACTTTCGGGATCGTTGGCCAATCTTGGGCCTGTGATTGTAGATGGTGTCGATCTGGCTCGAATTGGATTACATGAACTGCGGTCTCGCTTCAGTATTCTCCCTCAGGTATGCATTTTTTGTGAATAAAAGACAATTCTGTACCGATATCACTGTTTTAATAACATCATAACATTCACAAAAAGGACGACAAAGTTCCTGCTGAATAAATTTTCTTAGAGCACTTCTCGGTCATCAATTTTTCCCTATTTAAACTAACACATCCATTATATTATCATCTTAGCTTCTCTCTCTATTTTCAGTCTGGTTGAACTGTATATTTGAACAGAATTTACAAGGAAATTATCCGAATATAATCCAACTGGTGATTAAAGTGTAAAAAGTCGCATATCGAGCGTGGTAATATACCGAATTGTAGCTCTGAACCGATTCATAACTTTATTCATTGATTACCAGTCAAGGATCTTGTGTTCACCTATTAGAAGATATACCTGTTCCTATTTGTTGAGCATATTTCGTGCAAAAAGTTCCCATCCTAAATTAGTGCATACATTTCACTGGGATGGTGGACACCACATAATGTATTGATAAATGTTTTTTCTTCCCTTTCATTGAATATATAAATGTACCACAAACTTTCAGTGATGGAGCTGCAGTCATAAAACAGCTGCCTGAGGAAATACAGATTATGCGTAAGATGGGCGGCGGTGATTAGTTTCCAACTCAGGATCCCCAGGTGATGATTTCCACGACCTTACCACTCGACCATTGCTGCCTCAGACTATTTGAATACTCAGTTGCATACGTCTCAAAATCTCGCATTTTCACGCTTGGCATCGTTGCTTGTCTGTAGACCAAAATACCTAATTAATAAATTAATCCGCCATTCCCCAATCAGTAAAGTTCATACTAATATTGACTAAAAACAGACCACCTATCTTGGAAGGTGACGTTTCAACAGGCAGGCGCTGGAGGTTCTTTTATCGTGATGAGTAGGTAACTCACCTCCCATGTTTCCCACCTATAATCACTCGTCTATATGTGAAGTTCATCGATTCCATTGGAATAACGTGATCTTCGGCAAACTACATTTTCAAAAATCTTGCCTAGCGTTCAAACTTTTCCCATGCCGTATTGTTGCATTCAGAATCTCTTTTGACTTACGGAACCACTATTCCTTTTGAAGGAACCTGTTTTGTTCGCGGGTACACTGCGCTTCAATTTGGATCCGTTTGGTGTTCAGCCAGAGGAGCGTCTATGGGCGGCTCTAGAAGCCTCACATTTGGCCAGTTGGGTGAGATC